AGGAATAGTGTAGTTCAGCCCTCAGGAGGAAATCAAGGTCTCAATTGCAGTATCTAGGCCAGCTTGTATAGGAATGAATGAAGGAATCCCAGACCAAATGGAAACCTGTAATTCCATCACTCTTAACAAACAGAGGCTTCCACTCTGTTCTTGCTCAGATCCAGACCCAAACTCAAGTCATAAAGTTGTAAAGCTCAAAACAAAGGGGCAGTAATCACACTTTGCCTCACCACATGTGGCCCTCTAGGTCCTCAAGAGCAGCCCTTTGGCTGAATCCAAACTTTGTCTATGAAGTTCAGATTCAGTCAAAGGGCCACGCCTGAGGACCTAGAGGGCCACATGTGGCGAGGCCACAAGTTCCTCATCTCTGACCTAGGTCATACCACTCTAGGAACACTAAAAGCTTACAGGTCCCCAGCCTGTCCCTGAGATCCTGAAATAAAACAACACTCAATACCCAAAGAAAGCAGTAAAGGTTCAGTCTATACCTCCAGAAGTGCAGCAAAGGACAGCACTAACATCAAGTCCAAAGTCAGGAAGTAGGGTATAAAAATGAACAAACAAAAAAAGAACTCCATCACAAAAAACTATTACAGTGGCAGGGAAGCTGAAGCTACAAACCCAGAAGAACAAAATTGTTCTAAAGCATTCACAAGCAAAGCTTCAGAGAAAAACATAAGCTTGGGCACTAACTCAACTAGAATTCTTGGCGTTAAGAGTTTTAAATGTTTTAATAAATTAAATGAAAGCACTAAAAGAAGAAAATTGGAAAAGAAATGAGAGCTGTAAAAGAATCAAAAAGGGAACGGGGCAGCTGGGTGGCACAATGCATAGAGCACTGGCCTAGGAGTCAGGAGGACCTGAGTTCAAATCCGGCCTCAGACACAATAACACTCACTAGGCAAGTCACCTAACCCCAACTGCTTCACCAAAAAAAAAAAAAAGAATCAAAAAGGGAATTAACCGGTAGGCACAACAAATCAACAAACTCCCTAAAAAGTCGAATGGAAGCCAATGACTTCATGAGGTAATAAGAAATATTAAAACAAATCAAAAGACTGATTTAAAAAAAAGCAAGAAAAAGTCAAGTATTCTAGAAAATAGATCAAGGGGAAAAAAATCAAGAATCACTGAGCTACCTGAAAGCCTTGACCAAAAAAAAGAGCCTACACACTGTATTTCAAGTAAGCACAAAAGGAAACTGTCCAGATCCCTCAGAACCAGAGGGCAAAAAAGAAACAGAAAGAATACACCGATAACCTCCTAAAAGAAAATTCCACATGAAAATTCCCAGAAACTTCAAAGGCCAAATCCAGAGCTACCAGGCAAAGAAAAAATAATGCAAGCAGCCAGAAAGAAAGAAATAGGCTAGAAATAGGCTGGGAAAATGAGCAAAAAAAAAAAGAAAAAGAACTTGACCATAACAAGTTACTATGGTGAAAGGGAAGCTCAAGACACAAACCCAGAAGATCACGATGTCAAAGCAATCTACAAGCAAAGTCTCAAAGAAAAATGTGAATTGGATAGAAGTGCTCAAAAAGGATTTTTAAAATCAAATAAGAAAAGTAGAGGAAAAATTAACATAAGAAATGAGAGTACTACAAGAAAATTATGAAAAGATAGTCAACAGATTGGTAAAAGAGACACAAAAAAATACTGAAGAAAACAACACCTTAAAAAACAGTATTGTCCAAATGGTAAAAGAGGAATAAAAATCCACCAAAGAGAAGAAGTCCTTAAAAAGAAGAACTGGCCAAACAGAAAAAAAAAGTAAACAAGCTCACTGAAGAAAATAATTCCTCAAAAATTAGAATTGGGCAAGTGGAAGTTAATAACTCCATGAGACACCAAGAAACAATAAAATAAAATCAAAAGAATGAAAAAAGAAGAAAATATGACATATCTCACTAGAAAAATAAATGACCTGAAAAACAGATCAAGGAGAGACAATTTAAAAATTATCGGAAAGCCATGATTAAAAAAAAAAAGCCTAGACATCACATTTCAAAAAATTATCAAGGAAAACTGCCCTGATAGCCTAGAAACAGAGAGTAAAACAGAAATTGAAAGAATCTACCAATCATTTCCTGAAAGAGATCCCAAAATAAAAATTCCCAGGAATATCATAGCCAAATTCTAGAGCTCCCAGGTCAAGGAGAAAATATTGCAAGCAGCCAGAAAGAAACAATTCAAACTTCATGGAACCACTTTAAAGATTACACAAGATTTAGCAGCTTCTACATTAAAGAATCAGAGGGCTTGGAATATTTTCTGGAAGGCAAAGGAGCTAGGATTACAACTCTAGTAAAACTAAGTATAATTTTCCATGGGAAAAAATGGACATTTAATGAAACAGAGAATTTGCAACCATTCCTGATGAAAAGACCAGAACTGAATAGAAATCTGACAAAAGACTCAAGAGAAGCATAAGGTAAACATGAAAGAGTATGTTTGCATTCTTACATGGGAAGATGATAACTGTAACTTCTAAGAACTTTATCATTGTTAGGGCAGTTAGAAGAAGTATGCATAGACAGAGGGCATAGGTGTGAGATGACTATGATGGGATAATTTCAAAAAAGTAAAATTAAGGGGTTGGAAAGACGGATGGCCTGGGAAAAAGGGAAAGGGAGAGGAAGAACAAAGAAAATTATCTCACATAAAGGAGGAGGGAAACAAGAGCTTTTACAATATAGGGGAAGATAAAGAGGGTGGTGGCAATGCTTGAACCTTAACTCTCATTAGAATTGGCTCAACAAAGGAATAACAAACACTGTCAATTGTGTATAGAAATCTACCTTACCCCATAACAGAAGGGGAAGGAGGCTGATACTAGGGAGGGCAGATTAAGAGAGGTAGCAGTGAGAAGAAAAACAAACTTTTGAAGAGGGACAGAGGATGGAGGGAAAGAGAGAAAAAAGGATAAATAGGGGAAAAATAGGATGGAAAGAAACGCACAGTTAATAATCTGTGAATGTGAATGGGATGAATTTATCCATAAAATGGAAGTGAATAGCAGAATGGATGGAAAACCAGAATCCAATAATACATTGTTTACAAGAAACACCCTTAAAAAAGACAGAGACATACAAGTATAAATAAGTAGCTGGAGCAGAATCTATTATCTTTCAGTTGAGGTTTAAAAAAAAAGCAGGGGTAGCAATCATGATCTCAGAAAAAGCAAAAGCAAAAACAGACCTAATTAAAAGAGATAAGGAGAGAAACTGTATTTTGCTAAAATGCAGACAATGAAGTAATAGCAATACTAAACATTATATGCACCAAACAGCAGGGTAACCAAACTGCAAAGGGAAAAGTTAAATGAGTTTATAGGAAGAAATAAACAATAAAACTATATTAGTGGAGGATTCTAAGTTTCCCCTCTCAGAGCTAGATAAATCTAACCATAAAATAAACAAGAAAGAAGTTAAGGAGATGGATAAAATTTTAGAAAAATTAGACATGACAGAATTCTAGAGAAAACTGCACGGGAACAGAAAGGAGTATACCATTTGTTCAACTGTACCTAGCACCTTCACAAAAACTGATCACATATTAGGGCACAAAAACCTTACAACCAAATGCAAAAAGGCAGAAATATTAAGTACATCCATTTCAAACTACAATGCAATAAAAACTGTATTCAATAAAGGGCCATGGAAACAGATTATAAATTAATTGGAAATTAAATAATCTAATCCTAAAGAATGAGCAGGTCAAAGAACAAACCATAGAAACAACAAATAATTTCATTACAGAATATGACAACAATGAGACAACATACCAAAATTTATGGGATGCGGTACTTAGGGGGAAATGTGTATCTCTAAACTCATACATTAATAAAATAGAAAAAGAGCATGCAACTATGAGGGAACTGAGGCCAACAGCGTTAAATGACTTGCCCAGGGTCACACAGCTAGTAAGTGTCTCAGGCCATATTTAAACTCAGGAAGATGGGTCTTCCTGACTTCAGGCCCAGCACTCTATCCACTGTGCCAACTACCTGCCCATTACTGATTAGAGAAATGAAAATTAAAGCAGTCCTGAAGTACCACCTCACACCTATCAGATTGGCTAATATGACAGAAAAGGAAAAGGACAGTTATTGGAGAGAATGTAGAAAAAATGCTCTGCTAGTAGAGTTGTGAAAATGATCCAACCATTCTGAAGAGCAATTTGGAACTAAGCCTAAAGGGCTATAAAACTGTGCACATCCTTTGACCCAGCAATGCCACTACTAGGTCTGTATCCTAAAGAGATCAAAGAAAAAGGAAAAGGAGACAAGAAATATATGTATATGTACAAAAACATTTATAGCAGCTCTTTTTGTGGTGGCAAAGAACTGGAAACTGAGGGGATGCCCATCAACTGGGGAATGGCTGATCAAGTTGTCATATACGATTGTGATGGAATACTATTATAGTATAAGAAATGATGAGCAAGATGCTTTCATAAAACCTGGGAAGACATATATGAACTAATGCAAAGTGAAATGAGTAGGACCAGGAGAACATGTACACATTAATAGCAATATTATATGATGATCAACTTTGAATGACTCAGCTATTCTTAGCAATACAATGATCCAATACAATTCTGAAGGACTAATGATGACAATTGTTTATCCATCTACAGAGAAAGAACTGATGGAGTTTGAATGTAGATTAAAGGATACTTTTTTACTTCCTTTACTATTCTTGGTTTTATTTTTGGTTTCTTTTCCTTTGCAAAACGGCTAATGTGGAAATGTTTTGCATGACTGCACATGTATATCCAATATCAAATTGCTTGTCTTCTTCAAGGAACAGGGAGAAGAAAGACGGAGAGAATTTGGAACTAAAAAAAAGGTTGAAATTTTTTTGTTACATGCAACTGAGAAAAAAAGTACAATGCTGAACCTCAAGGGAGAAATCAGGATGCACCCTGATGGTCTCTAAGTTGATTTAACTCCATGTTTAATGAGTATATTAGGGACCATATATAACTATTATACTTACTGCTGAGACTGTTTCTCGGCTAGTTCTTTGGTTTTTTCCTAAAAGCAAAAGAATAAAAGCAAAAATGAGAAAAAATAGGATTATACACCAAGTTATATCCAATAAACCCCCCCATATGTTTGTGATACCCTGATCAACATCAGAAACATGAAACCATCATGTCAGATCCAGTCTATACCATGCTAACTACTCTAAACTATATTGGAAAAAATCAGCATCACATATCATTCAATCTTTTCGTTTTGTTTTTCTCTTTCCCTTTCCCAAACTGACCTACATATTTCCTGTAGCAGACACATTTCACAATCATTCACCTTACATAACAACTGTCTACTGAAAAATACTAAAGACTATATATTTATCACATTCACAAATCAGGATTCTGTTTATGCTTTTGTCATTGTTAACCATGTATTTTAAAATGTCCCAATCCTGTGATTATCAGTAAATGAAAACACATTTGAATTTCTAAAAATATTTAAATGTTAACATCAGGTCCTCAGGTTCAACTAGTATTTGCAGTGTTAACACTTAAAATGAAGACATAAGTCTAATTTTAACAACTGACCTATTACAGTAAACAGAACTATAATTCATCCTTATAGTTAGTCTTCTTGCTATCCACATTAGCCAATATCTGGGTATCTAGTCATTACAGCAGAAAATAACACAAAGAGCCCTGAACTTGGATTCAGAAGACCCGAGTTAAGTCCTCACTCTACCATTTAATTAACTAAATGATGAGGCAAGTCATTTAACTTCTCTGACTCTCAGTTGCCTCATTTATAACATAAGGTTCGAGTAGATGATCTCTGAGGTTCCATCTAACTCCAAAATCCTATTCTATACCAACAAATTTTGTACATACTATAGGAAAGGAAGGGAAGGGGTCGAAAGCTCTTAAACAGATAGACAAAAAAAGTCTAGTGGAGTAATCATAGAATTTAGAGTTGGGAAAGGCTGTCACGTCATCAAGTCCAACTCTCTTATTTTAGAGTTTAGCATCTACCAATCAGTGTTATTGAAATTTTTGTTGGAATTTGTATTAATTTCAAAATATAAATAGTTCAGATTTCCTTCTTGTTATTTGGGCTTCAACTCCATATTCTATTTGTTTATTCTTTGAGATTAAATAAAATTAAAATGTTTAAAATCAAAATATTTTAAATGTTAAAATTATCCATAATATACAGGCATTCATTTTACACTAAATTGATTTCACCAGGTACTATGCATATTATTAGCCCTCCATGAGTATAAATGACATATGCCACAGAAGTCATAATACTGGACTTCATACGGAGAATCCTAGATTTGACACAGTACCCAGATCACAGCGTCCATGGCACTGAAGGTTAGCTATCAGATATATGTTGCAAACCTTAGTCAGTCACATCACACTTTACCTGTCACTAGCAACAGAAACAAGCCACTGTTTCTAAAAAGAAATCTTATAAAGATACACTTTTTCACAATTCTGTTACAGGACATTGACTGGGCTAAGGTTTGTAGAAAGGATCACCTAGAATGACCAATCTGAACAACAAAGGATCTCTATTTCCCTCAATAATAACGAGATTAAGACTGTGGCCTTTCTCATTTAGTAGATACAGCTCAGATAACTCCTAGTTAGCCAACAGTCAATTCCAAACACAATTCAGACTACCCAAGCGGCTGTCAAAATGTCAAAGAGAAGTTATCCCACATGTTAACAGTTAAACCTCCTTCTGTAAAGCTGTTTTAATTTTAAAAGTGACTAGTGCTATACCAGTCTTCTGCCTCTGTTACCACATTATCCAAAGACTTTCATGCTGGTGCTCTCTAACTGAAAGAAGCTGAATAGCAAGCACACCTAGCCCTGCTCCCATCAGATTTTACCAACTGTGCTTATGGGCAGGAATCAGGGGAGTTACAGGCAGTGCTTGTGCTAGTGGCAAGATGCCAACAAAAAACCACTGAGATAACTCTAAGGGAATTCTATCTACAGAACTATCATTTAAAGATGATTAGCCTTGTTCCCAGACCTAAGTTCTCAGTACATAACACCACTGGACAACACCACCTTCATAAGGGCACCAGATGAGAGATTCAAAAGTGATCTAGGACAGTAAAAAAGGTTGGGGGAGAATACGCCTAGAACCTAAGCATGTTGAGCAAAAATAATGCTGATTCATTAACATTCTGGACCTGCTTCCCTCAAATTAGAGTCGTAGCAAGATACATCTGGTACTCTTTTGCTTATACTCCAAGAGTTTTATCTGCTTACCTAATATGCTTGGGAGACATGAAAAATAAATTAGAAACTGTAGATAAGCAGAAAAGATTTTGTGCCTAGTGTTCCACTTCTAATAAATTTCAATGCTCATAGATACTGGGGAAAGCTTCTAGCTTTCCTAGCTCAATTTGTGGGTAGAGAGTGAGGAGGAGCAGAAACATTACTGTTGCTTGACACGTTAGGTGCTAGAAATGAACTCTAAACTGTCTCTGACCAAGCGCCAGGCAATTAGCCCAAGCACTGCTGGTCACTTCAAAATCCCAACCTCCCTCAATCCCTGTTTTGACTGACCCAGACTGTTCTCTGTATCAGTTTGGCCAGTTTAAGCAACAGCTGCCCAAATTCGCCTGGCTCAAAGTTGGTGGCGGAGTGTTGGATGCAGAGGCAGAGTAGGAAAGCAGGAGTCAGCTTATGGTCATCACCCCCTGGCTCAATCAACGTCATGATCCTCTTCACTAGCACATCCTCTACTGCTGGCTCAAACTCCAGATGAAGCCTTCGTCGAGGGGTCTTCTGACTAGGCAGAGCTCCACGCCTCTTGGATGAGGAAGGTGCTCTGCCCCCGAGCACTGTTCCACACATTCTACAGGTGGCAGGGTCTGACGTTCGGGGGACAGTTTTGAGCCGTGCCAGGGTCTGGGCAGGGAGGGCTTGGGCTCTCGCAGGATCTTTATAAAGCAGCAGGTAGTAAAGCCCCAGTGAGAGCAGGTCTCCATGGTGGAGCACCACAGTCTTTCCCACCTCTGAGAAGTTGATAGATATACTAGCTCCAGGTATTGGCTCAAGGATAAGCTTCTCTTCTGCTTGGGAATGTCTTGAATGGCTGGAGAGGTGGAGCCGACGTATGGTACAGTGGAGGGGCAGAATGTCTGGGGCTGAAAGGCTGATGCTAGGCTTGCTAGAGGGGGTCCTCTGGCCCACTGTGTGCTGTTCACGGTTCAGCACATAAACTAAGCTATCCTGAAATGAAAACATAAAACTTCAGGACAAGCCAAGAGCTCAATCAACTTGATCAGGAAAAAAACACAAGAAAAAAGGCACTCTGGTCACTTGAGCCTTCAATGCAAAAAGAGCTCTCCCGAGGGCCCTGAGCCTACCTGAAGCTGAAGAGCCATGGGATCTCGTTTGCATTTTGCCCTCCACCTGCCCCACATTTAGCACCCACCCTTAGATTAGACAACTTTCTCTTCTTCTTCCCCAGAGATTAATGTCCCAGAGGACAATAAGTAACAGACTTGAGACTCAGAGACTGCTCCATTCTAACACCTTTGAATCTGCAGTGGTAGGATGACAAGTGACCTAGAAAGAGAGAGACTGACTTATTGACCACATGCCCATAACTGCTAAACTGTCCCCAAGTGATTCCACAGCATTGTCTCCCTCTAATGTACCAGTACAATATCTTTCTCTCCTTCCAATTAAGTAATCTGATATTTCCCTTAACACTTGAGTTATCTGAAACTTTCTATTTTAGTTTTAATGAGTCATAATTCTTTTTTTTTTTTTGGCTAGGCAATGGGGTTAAGTGACTTGCCCAGGGTCACACAGCTAGTAAGTGTTATGTGTCTGAGGCCAAATTTGAACTCAGGTCCTCCTGAATCCAGGGCCAGTGCTCTATCCACTACGCCACCTAGCTGCCCCAATGAGCTATAATTCTTAAACAGAGTAGGAAAATAAATTAAAGCTGAGTAAATAAGAAATGATGAAAGGGAGAATGAAGAGCCATCTGTAGAGAGCGTGGCAAGTATGGACTAGAGGAGTAAGGCATTAATTTCTGGCTAAAGTGTATTCAGTGGTGCCATTAACAGTCTTTGCTTCCAAAGTCATCCCTCAAGAAATGTGTTTTCATTCCATAGGCTTAGGAATGCCTACATACAATCCCAAGGAAGAAGCTCTCTCCAGCTCTACCAGTGACACTATGACCTGGAATGAAGCCAGCCAGCCTGCTGCTATTCCCCTCTTAGAAATGAAAACCATACAATCCTTTGTGTCCACCTTGAAACCAACTGTAAAGCTCTCTAAGAAAGGATCATGGGAGCAGCTAGGTGGTACAGTGGATAAAGCACCAGCCCTGGATTCAGGAGGACCTGAGTTCAAATCTGGCCTCAGACACATAACACTTACTTGCTGTGTGACCCTGGGCAAGTCACTTAACCCCCATTGCCCAACCAAAAAAAAAAAAAGAAAGAATCATGAATTCAGCAGAAAACTTAAGAATTAGGAGGGATCATTATTGAGTCCAATCCTATACTGGGGGTTCAAGTGACTAAAACAGGCATACATGAAATTTTGACAGCACATTTTCCTTAGGCATTCTGGTTGGTAGAGTGGAAGACTTCTTTGAATAGCATTCTTCCCATTGTGAAAAGGTCAAGCCATCCCAGGGGCTGGGGCTGACTTGACAGGACTCTAGCCTATAGTTTAAAAAATAGAGGAGGATTCTCCATTCTCCACTTGGGGAATAAAGATCAATTGCTATTCTTGGAGAGTGGAGACTTGGGTTTGAATCTTGGCTCTCATACTTACTACCTGGGTGACCTGGGCAGGTTATTTTATTTTTCTGAATCTCAGTGTTCTCTGCAAAATGGGGACAAGAATGCTTACACCATCTACCTCAGAGGGGTTATGTAAAGAGCTTTGTAAACCTTAAAGTGCTATAAAAACATGAGTTATTATTACTGCTTCCCAGGGCCAGTTCTCTTCATCGTATAAGGGTAGCAACAACTATCTACTACCTGAAAAGAACTGTCAAACTTCCTAATCATCTTTCAATATAACAAACTTAATTCTTCAAAGCATCTTAATGCCAACCTACACACACTGATGAGCATCCCCAACACCAGCCCCTTCAATTCCTAGCCAGGGTTGTAAATCACAAATTATCCTTACAAGGAAGATCATTTGACTAAAGACTAAAAGAGGCCACTTAAAGAGGGGGCAAATTTTATTCATCACAAGTCTAGGAACTGCTTATCTAGTCAGTTTAATAAAAGAAGTGAAGTACGTACATGCTGCTGACTATAGCCCTGCAGAAGGAGAAGATGTGGCGATTGGTAAAGTGAGTATCGCATATTGCTACTGCTATTTGTCTCCAACAGAGTGTCCTGAAGCGCCGTGCCTGGGTCCTCTGGGCTTCGGCTGGGGTCTAACAAAGTGGAATAATGCCCCTTCGGCTTCTCTTCTTGTGTACTAGGATGGCTCAAGCTGGTTTCACTAACTGTGCGCCGAAGGGTGGGTGGGGTGGCATGTCGTTTACATCCTGCAGGCAGTATTGTAGCACCCTTTGCACGATTCTTCTGGAGTTTCCTTGCCTGAGCATTGATCCCTAAAATGAAAAGCAAGTTGTTTTCAAAGAATTACTTCTTTCAGAATTAAACAGCTGGGGTTCTAGCCCAGGATTTAATTTCTCACTGTATCTTTTCAGTTCTCATTCTAACCAAATAAGCTTCTCTTTAACTGGAGACAAGCCTTCTCAAATGAGTCTCTGCCTTTAAAATATCAGCGTTCTTGTATCACCATCATTCTTCTGATACTAGGAGATCTTTTAAATATAGAAAACCATATAAATATCCCCATTGTCCATTTCCACCATAATGCCCTGGGATTTTTTTTCTTTAAGACAGAGCTCAACAAGTCCTGGTAATAAAGAAAATAAAAAACACTTATTAGGTATTTATTATATACCAGTCACTCTGCTAAACAATACAGACAAAGAGACAGTCCCTACCTTTGAAGAGTTTACGTTCTAATGGAGAAGACAGCACACAAAAAAGAACTGTGAGGCATTAATGCCTGCTTATTGACTGTTGCCTGCCACACACACTTAGTCACTCTTTCAAAAATGCCACTTCAGGGGCAGCAAGGTGGCAAAATGCATACAGCACCGGCCCTGGATTCTGGAGGACCAGACACATAACACTTAAGAGCTGTGTGACCCTGGGCAAGTCACTTAACCCCACTGCCTAGCCTCCCCCAAAAAAGAGAAAGAAAAGAAAAGAAAAAAGAAAAAAAATGCCACTTCAAGAGCACCATTCAATGCTGGCAATAATAGAGACTTGGCTTCTTTGGTTTTTCAGCTACCACTGTACCTTATTCAACTCAGAAAATAGATTTGAACTTTGCAACTCGATTTAAACTTACTTGCCAATTTTATCTCAGAGGGGAATTTACTTGAAACAATGGGGAATTCACTTAAGACAATGGATACTGAAAGATTTACTTGTCATTAAATTAAATTCTCACAGTAATAAGTTCACCAGACTGGATGCAAAAGCACAATCAAAAGGTGGAAAGACACTGTTGGCTTCTGTGGCTTTTATGCAGAGGTCCACAGAACTTCTTGGCCAAATATGCTCAGCTGCCTCTTTGAGTCTTCAAAGAAGACTGTTTAAGGTCTTTCTTTTGATGCCTAGCGACCCTAATTTGGGTCTGGATCAGAGCTTAATGAGCACCGGCTTACAAGAGCATGTTGGCTTTCTTCTTGCCTCCCTTTCTTTTTATTTCCTAAAAAATTCAAATGGTTTCTAAATTTGATGGCTGAATTCTAGATCCAAAGTATATTTGATGAAACCTGCCTTTAAGATCTATGTGAAGGCTTCTCCTTGAAACTACCACCAGGGTGCAGTAACAGCACCAACACAACTGGCCAGTTTATTTCCTAGGGTCACATCACCTATACTTAGCACCCATAAAATCCCCCGTAAATAACTCTTATCCTTCCCTCAGAAGCCATCATCATAGGGAAGTAAAATCCATTCATCACATTTATCCTATCATCATAACATCACCTCTCATCTGCATAGTGCTTCATGGTCTTCAAAGTATTTTTACTTAATTTTACTTCACTTGATTTTCACAAAATTCACAAAATAAGACTGGTATTATCCTCAATTTAACAGATAAGGGAACAAAGATTCAGAGAGATTCACCTATTTGTCCAACTCTACTCTGCAAAATTGCAAAGCTAGGAAATAAAATCCAGATCTTCTGGCTCCTTGCCCAGTGGACCTTATTGCCTTTTGTCACCAAAAACCAGGGATTGAAGATGAGGGGAGGGCAGGGGTACAGAAAATAAGGCAAATTCCCTAAGATTATATTTTAAGACTGACTCTCTTCTTCTAATGTATAAAAGTAACACTGAGTACAAAATTATTAAAAATATTGCATTAAGAACTTATAAATACAGTCACAGATCTTTCAAGTCAAAGTAATTGGAAAATCTGAGAAATCACAGTATATGTAAATTAGCTCCAAATTTAAACGCTCCCCAAGTTCATTATTAAGCATTTTCTTTTCAACCCTCAGCTTCATTTCTCCTTCAGAATGCCCTTTAGGCTTATTTTGGCCTTATATGACAACCTATCAAAATCTGCAGTATCAGTTGCCTAGCACCATACTAAATGAAAATAAATAAAAAAGAAATGTCAGGGCACAAAGCTTAAGGACAAGAGATTCATTCCTTACCATGCAGGGCTCGTGGATGGCTCTCTTTCCTGTATCTCTTTTCCTGTATTGTACTGAAGGATGACCAGTTCTGCCAATGAGCAGAGTAAGAATGCCAACTGCCTGAACCTGCAGACTGCAGTATGAGGAATCTCAAAGAGTCTGCCTGCTGCAGAGCAGACCTTAATTAACTTCTGGATATCAATTTGGAAGAGCAGTCAGAAGAGTGAGACTGAGAGACAGCATACAGCTCTCAGCCCAATTACCACAGTTTATCATCCTTCTGCCCACCTGGTTTAGGTCCTGTACCCCAAATAATGGCAGATGCAGCTCCCTTCTGGGACTAATACCATTTTGCAAACTAAATATTATCTGTGAGGCACAAATCTGAAAGGAAAGTAAAACAGCAAAGGTAAAAATGGCATTTTTAATCTTTCAATCTTTTCTGAATCAAGAAAAAAAGGTTCTTGAGTACTCTAGTCATAGAAAAAAATAAAAATAAATAAGATTTCTAGGAAGGAGGAAAAGCTGAAAATTACCTTTCAGAAGGCACGAAGCTATAAAAGCAGCAGGGAAGTTTAAGGAAAAAATAGCCTTTTTCCTCTTCAATTTCCAAATTTCATTTTATGTGGCATGAAGCCCAGTGAATGCATGCAGAATAGGGTATCTGTAAGTACAGGTTTCTCCTATGGGATCATATCTCCAAAATCTGAAGACTCGGAGCATACTGCACTATATTTCTCTATGCCAGAGACAATGACTCTCTGCAGAGCCTGTGTTTTCAGGTTTGCTGACTGCTTAAAGGGACCCTGTCAAGTTGAGGCCTAGAAATACATTAAAGTTTAATACTGTTAACTGCTGGATGAAATTTATTCATAGTAGTGAAATATTTTGACTGCTAGTGCTTTGAACTGAACACTTAAAAATAAAAATATTTGTAATGCAATGCTGGTAGAAACATGGAACAATCAGGATTTTCCTTTGAGAGGATATAAATGGAAAGTTACTGAATGAGGGCTGACAGATTTCTGCCTTGGGAATCTTGAAGGTTGCTTCATCAATAATGAAGTATAATCAATCCATAGAGATGAAATAGAACCAGTAAGCACAGGTCTACTCTGATCTTAGTTGAGAGACTGCTCACAGTTAAATGACAAGTAGAAACTACAGCCTTCTCTTAATTAACACAGGCTTTAAAAATAAAAGCAGTTCCAACTCTTCTACATATATATGTTACAATTTCATGTGATCCCCTGATTCTTAATATATCATCAAGATGTGCCATCCATCCTTAAAGGAGAAAAAAGGACAGTTTTGATTCCACTCTTTTTGATACAAACTCCAACTTTTTGTTCAGGGATAGGTACTACTGGGAAGAATCACCTAGAAAGATAACACACAACAATTGTCCTCAGAATCTTTAATAGTAGCTAACAGACCTTTTTTGCTGATTATAAAATGTTCAGGTTTTAAAACCCTGGGTGCTCTGGAAACCCTTTTAGTTTCACTGAGGCAACAGAAGAGGGATAAGAGGTTCCTGACTTAAGATGCATGATTTGTTGTTTTGGGCTGTCTACACTAAACATCTGTTATGGGGTCAAGATCCAGGCAAGTTCAGTAGCACTGACATTTTCAATCAGCAAGGGAACTAATGACAAAATACATCTTAAGATCTCTTAACAGATAGGCACTAGTGAATTCTTCCAAAATTTATTCTGACAAATATTTTTAGAAAAGTGAGAAGTACAGTACAACACAAAGAAGTGTTACAGAACCTGGGTTCAAATGTCATTCCTGCTATTTAACTCCTATGTGACCTTAACCAAGTTACTTTACCTCTCTGGGCCTCAGTTCTCCATCTATAAAATGAAAGGGGTTGGGCTAGGTAACTCTGAGGTCTCTTCAAACTCCATATCTATAATCCTAAAATTGAAATTAGAAACACGATTTAAGAAGCAACTACTATTGGAGCAACTAGGTGGCACAGTGGATAGAGCACCGGCCCTGGATTCAGGAGGACCTGAGTTCAAATCCGGCCTCAGATCAAATACTTGACACTTACTAGCTGTGTGACCCTGGGCAAGTCACTTAACCCCACTGCCTAGCCAAAAACAAAAACAAAAAAAAGAAGCAACTACTATTTGCAGGGAGCACTAGGCTCTGTCCTAAAGAATCAAGATTAAACCAAGCACTGGCAATATTGTTCATCCAGTATTTAAGATAAAGCAAAGTAAAAGAGTGTATTAGTTTTATCAGATTTGAATCAGAATATATTATTAACACCAGAGCCTAACATGTAGGACTTATAATAGTTATTTATGTCATGTCTCTCTCCTAGATTGTAAGCTCCCTAAAGGCAGAATAAGCCCTTAGCATACAAGAGACACTGTTTTCGTAGGGGTTTTAAAATGCCATCTGTAGCTATGTTGTTAATGGTGCACACTGTTCAAATTTAAGAAAAATCCAATACACTCTTTTTCTGTTACTTCACTTCATCGTAAATACTGTATAAACAATACAGGGTGTCTGATTTTGGAAAAGGTGCTTGGCCCTTTAGAGATCACACTCCAGGCTAAACATTTAGTCTTTAGTCTCGTCTTTAGCTCTTCTTTACATATTAGGAATCAGTTTTAATGCAGTACAACTCATTTGATAGGTTACCATTGGTACTCTCTCAACTCTTGATTACTTGTAATAATCAGGAAGAGGAAACCAGGGAAAACTGAAATTCACAAATAATCCAAAAGACCTGTTTTAGTTCTTAGATTCAGGCTTCCACAAAACTTTTGCCAGTATTAAACAATAATAAATAAAACTCACGTTAAGAGCTAGCCTCAAAGTCAAGACGACTTGTTCAAACCTTCCCTCTGAAACACATTGGCT